CCATGCTATGGTGGAGTTCAAATGAGTAATTCTTATTTCTATGGCACTACCCTCATGGAAATGATGTCACCATGTGAAGCCTGCACCCCAAGCAACTCCAGAGACTGGGGAGAAAAAAGAAAACAATAGAAATTTTAAAGGAACAGCCAGAGAGGAAGAAGAGAAACCAAGAATGTGGTTCCATAGAGGCTGAGAAAATAGAATGTTCCAGAAAGGAGCTCTGGCCAACTGGGTTGACTGCTTCTGAGATGTTGAGAGAGGTGACGACAGAAAAGTGTGCACTGGACTTGGCAGCAGGGACTTGACAGAAGCCGTTCTGGTTGAATGGGGAGATGGAAGTCAGATTGGTATGGGTCGAGGACTGAGAGAAAGGTAAAAGTAAGCAAGTAGAGACAGCTGGTGTAGACAGCTGTCCAAAAGGTTTTGGTGAGCAGGGAAATGGATGAAGGGAGGGAGGTGTGAGACTGGGAAGGTGGATGTGTAGAAGCTGTCATTACTTTTCTGTTGTTGTTGTTGTTGTTGTTTTAAATATTTTATTTTTTAGCTGGGCATGATGGCACATGCCTTTAATCCCAGCACTTGGGAGGCAGAGGCAGGTGGATCTTTGTGAGTTCTAGACCAATCTGGTCTACATAGTGAATTCCAGGCCAACTGGGGCTACAGGGAGACCCTGTCTCAAAAAATATATCTTTTTTTTATATGTATGTATATATTGCCTGCATGAGTGTAAGTGTACCTGTGTTGTGCAGTGCCTGCAGAGGTCAGAAGAGTGTTGAATTTCCCTGGAACTGGAGTTATGGATGATTGTTAGCCATCATGTGGGTACTGGGAATCAAACCCAGGTCCTCTGCAAGAGCAGCCAGTGCTCTTCACTGCTGAGCCATCTCTCCAGCCCCACTGTCATTAGTTCTAAGGTGGGAAACACCCACCAGTGCTGAGAAGGTAGAGACAGGTGGATCCTAGGGCCTCAACCTCAACAGCCAGCCAGCATAGATAGCCTGATCAGTGAGCCCCAGACCAATGAGAGAGCCTGTCTCAAAAAACCACAGTGGAGCCAGACATGGTGGTGCATGCCTTTAATCCCAGCACTTGGGAGGCAGAGGTAGGCACAGATCTCCGTGAGTTCAAGGCCAGCCTGGTCTACAAAGCAAGTTCCAGGCCAGCTGGGGCTACAGGAAAACCCTATCTCAAAAAGACCCCCAAAAAAAACAAAACAAAAACAAAAACAAAAAAACCCACAGTGGACAGCTCCTGAGAAATGACACTTGAGGTTGACCTACCTCCACATGCATATGCGAGTGTATCTACAAATACATGCACACATCTGCACACACTTGCACCCAACTGAACTCTCTCAGTCTCTCTCTCTCTCTCTCTCTCTCTCTCTCTCTCTCTCTCTTTCACACACCACACACACACAAAGACAAGGAAAAAGGAAAGGAAATTGTGTACTTACAGGGTTGGCTGGATGGAGGGTAACGCAAGAATGCACAGGCACAAATTCAACATGAACTTAGACTGAAAGGCTGGATCTGGTACTGAGACTAGATGAGAATGGAAATGCAACCCAAGAGGTCTGACAGGAGGGAGAAGGTACGAAGCCCAGAACTGAAGGTATAAGGAGGCCCAAGAACCACTCCACCACAACAGGCCTTTGAGTCACTAGCTAAGAAGATGGACAGGGAAGGGAGAGCTCTATGCAAGGATCTCCACGGAGAGATGGAGTCTGATTATGATTCAGATTCAGAAAATGTGAATGAGACTGAGGGGGAGCAGAGGTCCACCATTCATTTATTCACTCGCTAAACATATATTGAGCACTGGGTGTGCTGGTGGTACAAGTGAGGGAACTGGTGGCCCAGGAAGACTTCCTGGAGGAAGTTCTTGAGCAGGTTGTATCTGGAAGGACAAACTGGAGCGCTCCAGAATGACAGAGGGTGGATAGCTCCAGGGATGAGCCAGACTACAAGCAAAGGCACCGCAGGGCTGGAGTGGAAAACCCCACGGTTCATTTGTGAAAATGGAGGTAGCATGTGTGGGGAAGGGTTTAGGCGCTGGGTAGAAATCAGGTCATAGAGAAATTGGGGATTATTGTTAAACAATGAGAAGTCACTGAAGGTTTTCGTGTGTGTGTGTGTGTGTGTGTGTGTAAAAGAGATGAAAATTAGATTTGTGACTTTAGACTTGCAGATGGTAGAGGGAGACAGGGATCAGAGCAGGAGGCTACTGGATAGATCAAATAAGGGATGCCAGGGGACGGAGCTCTGGAGAGCAGAGACAGAGGTGCTGGGAGGGGACAGCCACAGGGCATTGGGAGCTAACTAGATCTACCTCTTCAAAGCTTTCAGCCCAAACTAAGCTTTAACTGGTCAAGCCAATGAAGGTAATTTTCCTTCATATAACAAAACATTGAAACGTGAAGTGATTCCATGGTTGGTGAAAGGACAGGAGGACCCGGAAGAAGATTTTGAAGAGGGAGATGTGTGTGTGTGTGTGTGTGTGTGTGTGTGTGTGTGTGTGTATGTGTTCCCAGGTAGAGAAGGAGGCAGTCCAGAGACCAGAAGAGAGCCAGAGGGGTGGGCCAGGTCATTATCAAGAAGGTGGGAGAGGAACGGAATGCTTAGGGAGTCAGCCAAGAAGAACACTGGGACTGTCCCCTGGGTTCCTGGGACCCAGGTGAGCTCAGTTTCCTCGAGGGCTGGGCTGGTGCCAACCTGCGATGCTGGTTTTTTTGTGGTCCCTTTGGGCTCCAGTGAAGGATGGGGAACAGTATTAGGGCATTGTTGCCAAGCCAACTGCCAACTGGGTGGGTCTTTCCAAGACCATCTGGCAGACCAGTATCATCACATGACAGCAAGATATGAGCATATGTGTGGGGTGGGGGTAAGGTCTGTGACTCTGTGAAGGGCTTCAGACCAGACTTGAGTGTGTGTATGTGCACTTGCACACACGACAGGGTCAATGACCAGCTGAGAAAAATGAACCAGCATAGTCATCTCCAGAAACATGACTCCTTGAAGGCTGGCAAGAAACAGCTGGGAAGCCAGGCGTGGGGTGTGGCCAGCTCTGCCCAATGGCTCTGGCCTTTCCCTGGCATCCTCTCTGTTGACCGTCTGAGAAGTTTGCCTACTGACCAGGGCCACTGTGCCTAGATCAGTTGTGAGGGGGCTGCATTCAATATAGCTCTGAGGGTCTGTCAGAATCCCTGAGTTGGGACAGAGGCCCCAGGTTTTAGCCATGTGGGCCCTTCTCTCAGAGAGAGAGAGAGAGAGAGAGAGAGAGAGAGAGAGAGAGAGAGAGAGAGAGAGTTGTGCCAGAGGAAGACGTTGGGTGTACCGCCCTATCACTCACTACAGGGTCTCTCGCCGATCCTGGAACTAAGCTGGTAGCCAGGAAGATGCAGCAATTCTCCTGTTTGTGTCCCCAATAGCACTGGTGGGCACACGCACTTTTTTACTTGGGTGTTGAAATCCAAACTCATACTTTCAGAGCAAGCACTTTTACCCACTGAGCCATCTCTCGCCTTTCAATGGTTGGGTGTGACGGGGTCCGTGTTCTCTCTGGGCCTGCCTGCTGATGAGGTCGTTCCTCTAGGGCCATTTTCAATAAGTAACCCAGTGCAGGTCTTTCATGGGGAACAGGCTGGGTAGATGGGACTTGGGGGACCAGGAATGGCCCAGGTGCTAGCCCAAGAAACGGTCCACATACTGCTCACAAGACCCAAATCTGTATATCTTCTTTTCCTCTATCCAATTCATATGGGGACCATCAGCCAAAAACTGTCTTTGGAGGCTCTAACACTGCCCCACTGAAGTCTTCTGCCTCCTTTTCTCCTTTTTACCTCTCCTGTGCACCCATGTTAGCATCCACAACTGTCCTGATGCCGCCCTCCACATTCCCTACATTTTGTTCCAACTCCATCTGTCCCAGAGGTTTTGATCCCACAGGGCATGGAAAGGAGCAGTTAAGACTGTCTGCAGGGCCTGGGACTCTTCTGTGTTCCCTCTCTTAGCCGACTGCCAAGTACCCCAAAGATCAGAAAAGAGACTTTACATTCTCAGATCCTCCTTTTCCCTTCCCTCAAATCAAGAACAGCAAATACGGGGCTGGAGAGATGGCTCAGCGGTTAAGAATGCTGGTTGTTCTTGCAGAAGACCCGGTTTCGAATCCCAGCACCCACATGGCAGCTAACAACTGTCCCTAACTCCAGTTCTAGGGGATCCGACAGCCTCTTCTGTCCTCCGCAGGCATTGCATGACACGGGTGCACTTACCTACATGCAAGCAATACACATATACACAGAAAAAAATAATAA